TATAGAATATCATATCATGCAATTGCCAAGTCATTATAATTATTACAGAAATAAAGACGTCTAATATTGATACTTAAAATTTATAACAAAATTGTTGAATAGGTGCTTAAGGTGAAACTAAATAAAATAAACTATCTTGGTCTTACATCAGATCTCACAAACTTTTTATAGTGGAAGAATTGTGTTGCAAGACTTGGCATTTTTTACATTCTATGTTTTTCATGGGATCTCATTTATTTTTGTAGGTTATCCTCCTATTTTTTCTCGAGTAATATATCATTCAAAATAATATTAAAGAAGTTTGACTAGTAATAATTCATAAACTTTAAATTATCGTATAAAGTCAGATAATATCAAATGGATTAATTCTAGTTTTCTAACGACTTTTGTTTGCGATTTTCGTTACAGCCCCAAGAGATTTTGGCAACAGTTCATTTAAAAACATTGATTTACAACTCATATGTATGACTTAATAACGATTTTAATCGGTGAAAACCTCTTATTCGATATTATTTTGAACAAATAAATGGAGAAAAATACGTCAGAATTTGATATGTTGATATGCGAAACGGTCGTCGATGCATTGTTGGGATGCATGGTTGAGATGCGTAACCAAGGTAGCAGAAGCACAAACATTACTTACGAGACGTCATTTTGATATAAATAATTAATATATAATTTTTTATCTAAACTAATATAAAATCCTTAAGTGACTGACATACTGATTAATCACGATCCTGCTCAAACCACTCAACGTAAGAAGCTCAATTTTGGTATACAGGTTGATTCTAGGGTGTAGAGGTTCGATAAGAGGGGATTTTTCGAAATTCCAGTTCCAATAGGGTGAAACCACCCCTTAAATATTACAATATTTTTTGTTTAAAAATACGGTCAAGTTTCCGAAAAAACGCTTAAACATGTATATTTTATTTTGTTTTTTTACATATTTTAAGATTTTTTAAAAACGTATACAGGGTGTTTCAAAAAATCTGGTCATTGATTAATCACGATCCTGCTTAAAGCGCTTGACGTAAAAAGCTGATTTTTGGAAAACAGATTGACTTTAGGGTGTAGATGTTCAATAAGAAGGGATTTTTCGAAAAACACGTATATTTTATTTTATTGTTTTACATATTTTAAGATTTTTTAGAAATTTATAAAGGGTGTTTCATAAAATATGACCATTGAGTAATCACGATTCTGCTTAAACTGCTTGACGTTTAAAGCTGATTTTTGGTAAACGGATTGATTGTGGGGTGTAGAGGTTCGATAAGGAGGTGTTTCTCGAATCTCAAATTCCAAGAGGGTGAAAAGGCCCCTCAAATATTACAATATTTGTTATTTTAAAACGGTTAGTCTTTCGGGAAAACCCTTGGACAAGCATAATTTATTTGTTTTTTTTACATATTTTGAAATTTTTTAAAAAATCATACAAGGTGTTCCAAAAAGTTGGGTAATTTCTTAATCACGATTCTTCTTAAACTGCTTGACGTAAAAAGCTTATTTTTGGCAAACGGATTTTTCGAAAGTCAAATTCCAACGAGATGAAACTACCCCTCACATATTACGAAGTTATATAATAATATCGCCATATTGTTTTTTCTTATGCTAACATAAATGTGAGAAAATTTTATCCAGTTTGTATGTTAATGGAAATTCTTGGTTTGCTTTATCATCACCATTATAAATGATTAATTCGACGCGAACGAAGTCGCTGGTACACGCTAGTAGTGAATTAAATTCTTATAGTTATTTGCTTAATCCTAAGTCATTCGCTTCATTCTAAGTCATTCAGGAAATAATATAGCATCACTCAACCTATAAATTTAATTGATTACACAATAATTTTTTGCATGATTTTGCTTTTTAGAAAATAGTTTCATGCACAATAATTTTAGAATAAAATTTTATTAAATTATTGTGCATTCAACTATTTTCCAAGCAAACTCACGCGCAAAATATATTTGAATAGTTTAATCATAGACTAATGTCATGTACTAGAGATAGATTGGACACTGATATAAAACAAATGGGTCCGTCATTTAGAGCCACCTGGTGATCCGGAAGAAACTAATGGAGAGTTTTGGCATAACATAATTTTAGCGTTCCGTTACTTATTAATGCTATCTAAAACGGTAACGTTATTCAAGCTCAAAATTACTCCTTGTAAAATATAAAATAATAAATATAGACTTTTTTATTGCCATTTTATGTTTTATTAGATCATTAGAAGTGTAACATAATTAAAACAAAATTAAAATATACACATACATTTTAAACACCAACAATAGAGCACATAGCGCCAATTTTTTGATTTAACAAATCTACTAACTTAACTACTAATTAACTGTTACAAAAAAATACTATATATTACCAACTATGTACTTACTTATTTATGATTAAACTATTTTTTTTATTTGGTTCATTAATTTATCATTTCTAAAATGTCAGAATGACTTTAATAAAAAAGTTTAGTATCTAACACGAAAATGATGATCGACTCTAAATATCAGAATGCACAAACTAATAAAAACACAAACTATAAACACAAATCACTGAAATCACCGAACTTTCCGATAAATCAGGAATATCTGAATTAATAATTATTTAAATAATGATCAAAATAATGATTTAAAAATAACTTGACGGATCACCAACATTTTGTCAACATGTCAACTAGACAAAAACTAGACCACAGACAATAGTCAACATAGGGACTGTCATGTCATCTTCATATATAAATTAGAAACCTGTACTGTAATGTCTTTTGCGCCGTCTGGCGATGCGGAAGAAACTAAATTTGGAGTTCTATAAAATTACCATTGAGTGTCTAGGGCATGAGTTTAATCGATTAAATTTTTAGGTATAATATATGATTATTATACTGACATAAGTGTCAAATTCAACGAGCGTAACCATAGTTTCTCGATATATAATTACATACAAGGTATCACTTTTAAATTTTTTTATACTATTTGGAACGTTTGAAATTGTTTAAAAACTTACTTGTGGCGTTTGAAAAAAATTGCATGTTCTATTCGGAGTAAAAATGACTTTTTGTGCCTCGGCTGTATGTCGAACTTACAGCCTCGCCACAAAAAGTGTCATTTTTACTCCTAATAAAACAATATACTATTATTTCATAAATATTTTTCAAAAATATCAATATTAAAATAAATAGATCAATCTGAAACGAGGCGAATTGAAAAAACAAAATCGAATAATATTTGGATAATCGTCGGCAGTCATCATCATCAGTTGGGTTTTATTTAAATGCGAACGCCCGTCAGAAATTGAAATCCTTTGTTGTGTTTGCTCTCAGTTCATTTGGTTCGATTTACAGTTTTATTTCGGGCTTTATTTCGTTTGTTGTTCGGAAAAAACAACAAACGATTTGTTTAGATTAAAATACCGAGGGTTTCACAAAATTTCAGTTGAGTATTGTGAAGAATTTGGCTATATTGAAGTACAGGGTGGTCCGAATTGTGTTCGAGAAGCTTCAGCAGAATATCCTGCATATAAAAATAAGCAAAAATGTATGTATTCCAAAATGCTTCGTGTCGGAGATATAAGTTTCATTTTAATTTCGATTTTTTTCAAATAATTTCTAACTAACGTCGTTATTTGGATGAAAATTGGTGTCTGGGTGTTTTTTGACTTGATAAATTTTATTTCGATGTCAAAATGACTCCTATACTAGTAGGGGGCACCACTTTAGAGGTGTGTAGTTCGTGAACGAACTAGTTCCAGTGAACTATTTCGACCCCGGAACGAAAGAAACTACTTCCCGGTTTCTTAAAAGACTAGTTCCTCAGGACCTATTCCGAGGACCGATACTGTGACCGAGATACAATAATATGCGGCATGAGTGCCAGCCGTATGTTGCTGGTCCCGGACCGAAAGGAACGAGATAAACTAGAGAATCTAATTAAAAATTGTCGTGGATACTGTTTTTATATTAATTTATATTAATAATTTTTTGTTTGTTCTTTGAATGTTTGATGATGTTTCACTTTAGGTCTCTCAAATTAAAAAATATCTTTAAAACGAAGTAGATATTGTGCCTTTTTAGACAAAAACAAAAAGCGGGAAAACTTTGCTTTCATATTTATCATTTAGCTTCACCTACATGTATCAGTATTAAATATTTTATTATTTGCTCCAATTGATTTGTGATATAGTTTACTCTGATTTGAGTTTTTTTTAATTTTTTGATTTTATCTGCAATAAAATTTACTTATATGTTTCTAATATACGCATTTACACGTCTCGTTATATTTCGTACATTATAAAAAGTATACATAGTTCTGACTTATAACGAAACCTATGAGCAACCAACGGGGATTTCAGTGTTAGTCGGGAACTAATGTGAACTAAAGACTTAGTTCAAGGAACTATTCTACTGGAGGAACTAGACTTAAGGAACTAGATCCTCCCAAGGAACTAGAATTCCCATCTCTACACCATTTACATTTTTTTAAAGATAGGTTCATATACACGCGAATTGCGAAATGCGAATCGCAAAAAATATTCTTGGTCGATTAAAAAAAAATACAGAGGCGGCAAAATTGACAGAAAGTTGTTTTAGTATTTTGCGAATTCGCATAATTTAAAATCTGGGGACGGGAATAGTGAAACTGATTTAATTTTTGCGAATATTCGCTGCGAATTTTCAGTTTTTAGGTTATAATGTGGCCATTTCTTGTCACTTATTTATTGTTAATATTATAATAATATAAACATTGGTCAAAATGGAAGAAAATTGATATGATATTGTTGGTTGCTTCGCAAGTTTCTAGAGAATTTAATCACAAAATTATCAATAATTCAATTTGAGACATCGTGGTAGTAATATCCTAGTAGAGGACAAGTAAGTTTGTATAAGTGGTTTTTTAAAAATAAATGCAAAATACCAGAAAACGGAATACCGTAACATATTTTATTGATTACTATTTTTTGTTTGTTTTTGCTTTTTACTTTAAGAAAATGGTAGTACTTACGTTGATGACCCAATCTTTTGGATTATGCGCGTTGGTACCGCACACGTACAGTCTGTCACCATTTCCCATGGACTGGATCACTCTGATGTGATTACGACAGTCGAAATGCTGAAACAAAGAAAACAAGTATTGCATTAATATGTCTAGGGAATATAAAATAAATTGTTTCAATACTCAAGCTTGAAGTTTTACATCTTATTGAAAAAAATATATATTTCATCAAACCACACGTATTCAAATAGCATAGTTAAAATTCATATATGTTATAAAATTCTTACAGAAAAATTCTGTAAGAAAAAAATCTTACAGAAAATTTTCTGTAACAATTTTATATTACACCCAAAAACTATTTATCATAATAAAAATCTTACAAAAATTCTGCAAAGAAAAAAATCTTACAGAAAATTTTCTGTAAGCATTTTATATTAGATTCAAAATCTATTTAAAATAATAAAAATTCACAATATTTTTTCTTTACCGGACATTTTGATATTGCCCCTATTCAGCCAGAATTGGCCCAAAATCAACCCCTGCTGGCCTCGGAGGTAAACTCAATAAAAAAGCGAAAATACAACGGCGCATAAAGCGGTATTTTGAGACCGTTGTCATTCGGTGGTCGCAGACACGTACACAATCGAAAAACAGGACTACTCCGGGTATTTTTACTGGCCCTCTGTGCGCCGCCGCACCCCCGGAGATTTTTATTTCTCTCTTTTTCGTGTCGCTGCGACGATATGCAGACGCTCGCACGTTTCGACCATCGCCATCATCAGGATGAGGAACGGTTCGAGTCTTGTTTTGACTCCAATAATCGACCAGAGATATAAGAAATTGGAGATATATCTAGCGTTTTCTCAAACTTATACAGTTTGTTGCATCGTCAACCGAATGCAGTGTGCATTCACCAATTAATAGAATACTTAAATGGTCCTGATTTTATCTAGTCTGTTTTTTTATGGGAATATGTTAAAGACAGTGTTTACAAAACTCGACCAACTATTGTCGAAAACATGAGAGAAATTATTGTAGCTCCTTTTCGAGGTAGAACTCCACATATGCCTTTTAAAATGAAAAGATCCCTTTGAAAAGACAATCATTTTATGGAGTTAACAGGAAAGAAAGAGATTTGAGCATTTGATTTCATCTAGCTAATTTTTGTCACATTTATAGGTTTACATCTAGTTTTAATTCTGTAATAATTAAAATATGTTTTAAACGTGTATCTTTTTATTACCGTTGAGTATTTTACTCTACAATCTTTAATTTTTGTTAAATTAACAAAAGGTAACACAGCCACCCTAGATTTTTTCAAATAATAAAGATCTATTAGTGACGCAAAATCATAAAAAATTAAATATCTAGGCAAATCTCTGTCTGAGGGGTAGGCAACCTTAATAATATTTTGAAGATATATAAATTTCCCGTTGAACACCGTAAAAATATACTGGGTGTTTCATTTAAAATAAAGGAGTAACTTGCTTTTAAAAGTGACTAATGTTCCATATTAATTTTGTCTCACCCTGTACTTATAATTTTCGGGTCAAATTTCAATTTGGTTTAACATACAATGGTTACTGTAATTAAATATCAGGCTATACAAGGCCAACTAAAATTAGCTAGCTACTATCTAAATTTAGAATTTACTCTTCATTTTCACAAAATGTGAAATATGTCAAAATCCTTAGATTTTAGGTATATGCTTCTTTAATAAAACTCACCTTTATTTTTTTCCTAGAATCCGAAAATCAATTAATATATAAGGTATTCCATTAGAAAAAACACAACTTTGATGTGTAACTTTTTTGGAGACACCCTGTACAATTCTATATATATTTATAAAATGCTTTCAGTTAATCTACATATGTCGTCGAAAAATCCTAGAGCTGTAAAAATTTCTTTTCGATATTAACTACCGTTCCCCTTGGAGTTTCCGCGGCGTATGAGAGGCGCCACCCTGTACAATGGTACTCAATTTAAATTAAACTTCTCATTAAAAAATAGATAGTTATTTTCTTTTATCTATGTAAACAGAATGACTTATGATATGCCAGATTTTGACATTTAAAAAAAAATTGTTATTTAAATTTCAAAGTGTTACTATTATTAAGCAATTATTTTTTAACAAGTTAAAAAAGCTACATAGATCGTATTAAACAACGACGTTCTCAATATCCGAAAGGTAGTAAAACTCAAAATCTCAAAACAAATTCCCAAAAAAATAATCAAATTGAAATCCCTTTTTGGGGAATTAAATAGTCTGGTTATTTCTCAACTGACTGAGATAAAAATGTTATCGTTTACCTCACTTCATGCAAGAAGTCAACCGACAAAATATTATAAATATAACTAAGCATATACTGGGTGTTGCAATTTGTATGTCAAAATCCTCCCTAATTAACCTTAGTAAATCATTTTGACGATTTTTTATTCCATATTGTTGAGTACTGATTAATTTTTAAATTTGGCCATCTATTTCCTCTAACGTCTACGGTCCGGACTCGAATTTTATGTCTCAGATCCGGGTTTCGGACGTCCGGATTTTTCCGGAATCGGTAAATAAAAGGACATTGAGGAGGGGGAGGGGATTTAGGGTTCTCAACCGTTGACGTTTCGAGATTTAGGTTTTTCCTCCACTTTATGTTATTGAGGCAGTTATGTGTGTTTTTTTTCGTTTAGTTTGCTGAAACGGCGAAAATACTTTTTTACCGACCTGTTTAAAACGATGTCTATTTATATTTTATAGGATATTCTTCTATATTTCGTTTTAAAATATATTCTAATATTTTTATACGGAACAGATTTTGTTGAGAATGGAAACTATTTATTTTTCCAATTTAAATATGAAATGTTGACAAGTTTGTATGTAGTCCCAATACTTGAAGTGGTCAGCCCAATAAAAATTAGCATCGATTTTAATTTCAAAGGCTACCAGAATACCGTTTTTGCCAGTAGCAAAGTATTTCATGTTTTGAATATATAGAGTCGTCCGAATGCTTCGTCAAGTTCGGTCACTTAGCATCGGCACTTTGAAAATCGCGTATCAAAAGCCAGAAGCCGCCTCGTCCGATACGCCGGATTTCGACGAAAACAGGAGTGGAAGCCGGGGTAAATAGAAGCCGAATTTTTACCGATCGCAATGTGTGACAAGGTGCAGGGGAACGTGGGGTATTTCAAAAATACCTAATGGTAAATCTACAAAATAAAAAATATACTATGAGTTTATTGGTGTATTACATATAAATATTTAGACATGGCAAGATAAAAAAAGATATAGCAAAAATAAAATAAATTTAAAAAAAAACCAAAAAAAAAGCTACACAATATCAACAGTAAATAATGTAAAAGTATATTATGTAACGAGTGTTTTGGAAAAAATAATATTACGCACGAGTGCAGTATTCCATGAGTGCGTAATATGGTTTTCCAACACGAATTACGTACACTATAAAATTCAAAGCTGATACTATTAAATGTCAACAAATTTTGATGTTTAAATGGTATCCTCGGTATTTTTACGTTATTCGATAGAAAATGATACTCTGAGTAGAAAGACATATCATATGTCAGCTTTTAACAGTTTCACGTATGATTTATTTGAAAGTGTAACATGCGGTTTATAACGACAATTTGACTCGAAATACCAAGTGTGTGGCATGAAATTATGCGTAAAAACACTTTTTTCCAAATATACTAATGAGCCACACTCTTTCCATTTGAAAAAAATTAAGATATGGTTAAAATTACCCTTTGGGCATCTTTTAACCGGCCAAGACAAGACATGGAAAACATTAGACGATCAAATCTATTTTTCCCAGAACTCCTCGATTAAAGTTTTGTTTTTAAAAGAGCTATGGCACTCAATATTGAAATTTTAAAAGATTTTTTTTTAAGCTAGAATGTCAAAAGTTGACATATGATATGTCATTCTATTCAGAGTGTCATTTTTTATGGAATAAAGTAGAAAAATGCCGAGGTTGCCGTTTAAAAATCAAAAGTTGTAGTCATTTTCGGTGAAACCGGAAGTGACCGAAAAAAATTTAAAACGTTAATCAATCTAATTTAGGTCATATACTAACACACCAAATCTCGTTTTTTATCTGAAAAAATAAAAAGTTATAGGGATAAGCCACTTTTGAGACACACCCAGTATATGATTTTTCGTGTAAAAAAATTAAGTGTTCTTGAATAATTCTAATTAGATATTTTAAATAATTTTTTTTCCAGTGGCGAAAAACTCAATATTATTTTTAAGAAATAATAAAAATAATTATGCTTTTTTTATAATAAACTAATAAATAATTAACTAAGGCTAATGTGATCAGTAACACTTTGCAATGAAAATTAAATAACTACTTGAAAAATAATTCCATATGCATGCGAGACCACTCTGTAATAACGCCAAAATCAGAGTAATACGCCGAACGTGATCCGCCGTGTATGCTGGGTCCAAAGTCCACACACCAGTAATACACTGGGAAACACGTGCGTGAAGCGGCTTTTGATACCTGCCGCCGGCACAAGTGACAGAACTTATATTTTATTCAGTAAACTTTGGCTTCGTTTTGGAGATACAGGGTGCTAAAGTCTTATTTTTATTTCGATTTTTCTAAATAATTTCTGCACTAATGCCGATATTTGGATGAAAATTGGTGTCTGGATGTCTTTTGGCATGAGAAATTTTGATTTAGCTGTCAAAACAACTCCTACTGCTAGGGGCCGCCACGTATGGTGAAGCAGTTTCTGTGCCAAAGGTTCAATTTGGCACAAAATTTTTTTAAATTTATAATATCAGTCTATTGTCTATACAGGGTGAGTTTTCTACGATGTTCTCTATGGGTATCTCGGAAACTACTGGGGATAGTGAGTCGGTTAAATGGGGAAAGAATTGTAGAATTGTGGGGTCATAAATATGCGTCTTTCATCTTATATCATAATTATGCAAACTCAGGGGTAGGAAGAGGTGGACAAATTTCATGGGCCTTCTCGGTCACCTGACCTATCCATTTTAGAATTTTTTTATGCGGAACTTCTGAATTGAGAGAGGCACTCTAAGAGGCGGTATGGGAGAAGTTTAATAAAGTCGACCGGTCTTTCTGATAGAAAAGCTA